TGGTTACGTCCTTATTAAGCAAGGACATGCGCAGTCCAGGACTGAGTTCAATCTTAAATGAACCAGTTGAGAATACTCCTATTCAGAGTTACATTCTGAAACTTGACGCTGACCTTAAACGTCCAGATATAACAAAGGACAAGGCTCAGCGATGGTACGAGTTCCTGGTTATGCACGTTTTCTGTCAGAACATAGGGAACAACGACCTTGAAAGTCTGTACACCGAGTTGCGACGTAAGTACGCAACTGAGGCTCGAGACAAGGGACATGAATCAAAGTTTCATCTATCCCGACTTACGTGGGAACAGTTTTATGACACTGTATCCACTCTTTTCCCCGCACACCGAGTAACCTAGAATGGAAAGGCGGTAAATAAGACACCGCGCGAGCTCCCTGATCAAGGATACCTCTCACGCCAGACGTTTAGACACGCGCTCGCGACTCTACTCAATCAACGCGACCCGATAAACGGGCACGCGCAGAGGCGAAGGACAAGGAACTTCCATTTAAGGATATTAAGAAAAGTGCCGACGCACAGTGTGGGTATGACATGTACCAATTGACCCCTAACGGTTATTGGAACGGAAGACATGCACCCATCTGTACACACTTTCTTACTAAGTGTGACAAGTGTGAGAAGACCAATGGCTATCACGATAAGTCTTGCGACACGAAGCCCGACAGTAAGTTGGAGTGAAAGTACTACCAGGTACAATCGTTACAAAGAAGATACAACGACTCCTTAGATGAGCGTGTAATAATCCCTGTATATTGCAACGGAAATAAAGTCCTTGCAGAAAGTCCTTGCAGAAAGTCCTTGCATTGATTGATCCTGGTTCAGAAATTTCATGTATATCCGACCGCTTTGCATTGATGAAAGACATTGAAAGGCGAACTCAAACCACTCACCTAATTTTAGCAGATGATAAAACTTCTAAGTGTGATACCATGGCCACAGATGTTAAAATCTCCCTGGCCGATGATAGAAATATCACGACTCAAGCTGTGATCGTTAAGATGTCACAGAAGTACGACATTATAGTCGGAATGAGCGATTTGCTCATGTTAGGGATAACCGTAACAAGCTTACCCAACAACATAGATCCATTAAAGGATCAGTCAGACGATAATTGTCTAATACCATATACACCACCATCGGACACAGTCAAGGAATTAATTCATGGCTTTGCCGATAAGATAATGGATCTTATATTAGTAAATAAGATGATAAAAATAACCGACTGGGCGAAATTTCTATTCAACGACGGATACGTCAGCCTTGACTTAATCAAGGTAGACTTTACTAAGCTCAAATGTCCTTCAAGAAACTATGTTTCTTAGAGACACGAAGCTGTAGTTAAAGAACAAGTCGAGAAATGGTTATCCGATGGGGTACTCGAAATCAATTACCAACAAACGCCAGTTAACTTAGCATTATTGGCAGTTGATCAACACAACTCTGATGGAACATTTAAGAAAGTCAGAGTATGTCTAGATATGAGCCCAATAAACAAGTTATTGCCGACTCATAATTTCCATTTCCCTCGTATTAACGAGTTAAGGTGTTTACATCCATAGACCTATCACAGGGGTATCATTAAAAGCAAATTTATGAACCCCATCGTAAGTACTTTAGTTTTACCTGGAAATGTAAACAATACAGGTTTAGAGGTGCACCTTTTGGGTTGTACTCCTTACCAGCACTCTTCCAACAAGTAATGGAGGAAATTTTTGCAGACATGCCTAACGTGCAAGTCTATATAGATGACATAGTCATCTTTTCTAAGACTAAGGGCGAACATGCCGCATTAGTCAGGCGAACTATAATAACTAAAATAAGCAACTAAAACCTAAGTACTTGTATTCTGACCACAACCCCCCCCCAAAAAACTGAAGCACTGATCGAAAAGCAGTGTGCCAGTTTTAGAGATAGTGAGGAATACCCAAGTAACTTAGTTGCTGGCATTTATGCTCTGAGAGCTAGAGCAGTGTGCTGGCATTTATGCTCTGAGAGCTAGAGCAGTGTGCTGTCATTTAACCTCTGAGAGCTAGAGGACCCGAGGTGTACGTCTCGAGTAACCCGTTTTGAATACTTGAGACAACTGTTCAGTAGTGACATCATATATGTGTTCTGGCAAGTACAGTATAGAACTATACCTGTGTCGGAGAAAAACTGCCAATAGCAGAAACCGTGCAAACCAGTTAACCCGATGACTCCAAACAGAGCCCAAGGAATTGTCTAGTAGATATCGCTGTTTTATACTCCAGAGCTCGAGTGGCTGGTTTATACTCGGGAGCTAGAGTGGCTGGTTTATACTCGGGAGCTAGAGTGGCTGGTTTATACTCGGGAGCTAGAGGGCTCGACGATTACGGTTCGAGCGCACCGTCCTACCGAGTAGCCATATCTGAAGATAAAAAATTAGATTTGGGCACGTTGGCGTTTACGTGTCCGTGTCTGCGAGGCTTTGTGGTAGGCTGCGATATCGTTGGCATCATCAAAAGCCTCCGATGTTTCCCACGTTGGATTGCCTTCACGCCATCGCACCAAGTATCCCAATTTCCCTGTTTCTTCATTAGTACGGTGTGTAATAATGTGGCGAAACTCAACACCTCCTTCTGTCCACAATTCGTCGCTAAGTGGTGGGTCTGTGCGCCTATGCACTAACCGGAGGAGTTCCACC